TCTTTATTAAAAAATTGATTAATACATTTAAAAAAAATTTCTTCAAAAAAATTTATTATTTAGTGAAAATCAATACAATGTTTGTTAAATTATTTTGAAATTAAAATTATATATGGCACGCGCGCGCATGTGTGTATGTCGAGTAATATGAAAGTAGAATGAAATATACTTATAAATTATTCAAGTATGGGTCTGTAATTTCTTTAATAAAAGGTAAATTTAATTCTTACTATCTTACGTTAAAAATATTAAAATAAAAATAGAAAATATGTCTAAAGATTTAAAGGAATTTAAATTGAAATTATATTTGTAAATAATAAATATAAATACCTTGAACACGGTTATAATAATATTGTTAGTAATGAGTTGTATTCAAAAGCTAGTTGCCTTAAATATACTGAAATCAAGCTCATAATCTTCAAGCTTTACTCGCATGCAATGATTATAAAAATATTTAATTATGTACGGATTATTGAAGCTGTTACTTCTGATAAGCGGTAAAATTAAGAAACAAAACCTAAATACAAATGACTTTCAAAAAACTTAGAGCACCACATACTCCCAAGATTTTCTAATGAAATTAAATAAATTAGAGAACAAAAATTTAATGGCTAATTTTAAACATTTAATTTCGAAATCAAATATCGGAATGTCATGAGTATCGTGTTATTAAAAAATATAGTATAAAATCATAAAAATTTAATGAGATTTATATAAAATATTAACTATCTTACAAACTTATTATTACGTGAATGAAAAAGTTTAACAAAAAAATTAAAAAAAAAATTTTAGTTTATTGTATTAATAATTGCTAGCGGTAAGAATTATTGGTTACAAAAGTATATATTTGAAATACAAATGAATTTGTAGTAAATTATTCTAAAATATTATTTTAATAAGATAAAAAATTAATTAGAACATTTATCTTTAATGTCGTTTTTCATTTATTTTCAATGATTCCAACACGTATACATACCAAATTAAAAAAATGTTTATTCTTGAATTTTTTATTTTCTATTTATTGAAATATAACGAAAAAAACCGTTAGATCTATCATTAATCATAATACTAGAAGTCGAAATATTGTGGCTAGAAAACTCAAAGAATAGAAAAACTTAGGAGAATATAGTTTTTCAGCAGGCATGTATACCTTTACTTAATAAGGGCGGGTTTCCTGTGGTTCATGTTAAAGAATCGGAACTGCAGTCGCAACGTTAGGTCTTTCCGTACTGTTAGGAAAGAATAACAAATGCGCTGTGAATTAATGTCTGATAATATTTCTCTCTTTCTTTTTGTTTTTGTTTTTATAATAGGGGTAGCGTTTGATAATTGGGATAGGAGCTTTCGTATTAAAGTCCTTTTTATCATTTTTTAGAAGTGACAGTAAACTTTAGAAAATGTTGTAATTTAAATATTTTAGATTGATGTAATGATTTATATGAGTGAATATGCCTCAAAATTAAACGTTTATAAATCAACTTATTTTTAAATAAAATTTATGAAATAATTATTACATAAAATGAAATTAAAAGTGTTCTGTTAAATTTTATTTCACAATTAAATATATTGGTATAGATTTTTTTTGAAACTGTAAAATTTAATAAAATAACATTATTAAATTTAAATGAATCAGCAACTCGACTAATAATATTTTTCAATACAGTTAATTTTGAGGTATTTTCACAGATTTCTAAAGATCATTTTTTTGTTTTTTTTTTTTGTTAAAGTTGTCTGGGCGTGTGTATCTAGAAGAAATATTAAAAAAGCATGTCTCATTTTCACGTCTAACATCTCACTGTGCTCGATTTCTTATTAAATTCAATTTTTTATTATAATAACCTATTTAAAGAAATGATAAAATAAATATAAACAAATACATTATTAGAGTGAAGCCAAAGTAGAAAAATTTGTTGCACAAGACATAGAAAATTCTCGATATTATTGATAAAACTGAATCAATTCGATTTATAATTCGATAATTTGAATTTTACTAATGTATCTTAAAAAAATAAAAAAATAATTATATATTATAAATGAAAATATTTATAAATCTTATGGGCTAAGCTTTAAAACTATATCTATTTTTTATTAATAAAACTAAAATAATAATTTATCGTTATATATAAAATTTTAATGAAAAAAATTTGTCTTAATTTGGATGTAGCATTTATATGATACATTCATTAAATTATATTATTATATTAAACTTTAAATTAAGGACATTTAAGTTCACCTAATCCACATATAACTAATCCTAATACCCACCAATTAATTAGTATATCAAGTAATCACAAACAATATTATTGACAAAATAACATTGAAAATAAATTTGGGCAACGGCTGGTATTTATAAATGATTTAAAAAATAAATAATAAATATGCTATATATATTATTAATTCATTGTTAATTGAAATTGTTCACAATATATTAATCGTTAATTGTTCTAAATTGAATATGTAACAAGAAAAGTGGTCTCGAAGCACCGAAATAAATTTAATAAATTTGTACAATTTAAAAAAAATTTTTAAAAAATTAAGACAAAAACATAATAAGCGTAAGTAGTCATTTAATTCAATGCCCAATATCTAGAAAGTAAATTTATATAATTTTGAAAGTATACCTGAGCTTAGTATATATAAATTTAAACACCTTATTGATCATTCAAATTGCATTAATTACTTTAAATTTATAAATCTCCTAAATTTATTCAAGTATAAAAATTGTTTACTACAGATTTTTAATATGAAGTTATTTAAAATAATAAAAACATCTGTACCAATTGATGCAACTGGAATCTATATGAATTAATTAACGATATAAAACTCAATTTAATCTTTCTCTGATTTATTATTAATTCGCCAAGTAGTAAATTCTTTTAGATGCAGTACCGAAACCACTTATAAAATTTTCGGGTAACAAAACATTTATGAACAATGTTTAAAGCGAGTGCAGTACTCACGCCGACGAGTTAATGTATTAAACTTCAATTTTTTTATCAAACTCGGAGTTCGTAGTACCCACGAAGGTGCCAGTATTCGAATAAGAAAGTTCTAAGTCTTGTGTCTTTTTGCATTCCATGACTTTGGCACGACGAACTATTGATTTAGACAGAATATTAAAATTAAGTATCATTCCAATCTGTGTTTCAATATCCTTCATATAGTACTTTTACGTTTGAAGAATATTTAAGACAAATTGAGTAATTCGGATGTAATTTGAATTATTATACATTAATTTGTCTGGTAACATAACCGCCATAGTATTTTAAAAATATAGACACTTGTGATAATTTATAAATTGTAGTAGTATAACCAGTGTACAAAAAAATTTTTTAATGCATACGCACAAGATTTTGTATTAAAATTTTACACTAAAAATAATTAAAATATTAAAAATATATTTAATTGCTATTACTATGGAACACAATTTGAGCATAATTTTTTAAAATTATTTTTAATTAATTTTAATAGTTTTGTTTTCCCTGAAATTTAAAGATTATGTATTTAATATATATATATATATATATATATATATATATATATATATAATAATTTTGAATAATTATTAATTACTTGTACCGAGAGATTTTTATATATTATCTTTAAATGCACGCATAACTTTTTATCAAAACGAAATATATACAACAAAACTGCATTAGATTCAATTATTATATTACGTTTGTCGACGAAAATAACATCATTAATTTTGATTTCAAACTAATCGATATAATAACCAATTTTTAAATATAAAAGAAAAAATTAAAACTTTAGAATACGAAAGAACATTTAATAGCGGAAATATGCAAAATCTGCATAACAATAAATATATAATAACGTATTATTAGTTCGTAAGAAGAAATTTAAAAATATAAATTTTAGAATACATTATGATTTATTAGAATATTCTAATTTATTTCAATTAATCACTCTATTTTGTATCTATTTTAGAAAAATAATGCTAATTGTATATGAAAGTGTTTTGTCTGGAATATTTTTATAATATGAATAAGTACCTCATTTTTAATAAAAGTTACTCTACACTATTATGCGAATAGCAATGAAAAAGTGAAGTATTAGGTTATATATTACAATGATTATGTAAAAGGACACTGTAATTCATCTTGATTCTTTGAAAAATCATGAATAATAATATGAAAAATAAATTAAAAACGTTAATAGTAGAATGGTTTACAGGAATTGATAACACACTTGATGTGATGTTAATTAAAACAGCACAATTTACACTAAATACATTAGCAGTTTATTTTAACGTGAAATGATTAAAATCATTGTTTCCTTTTTCTATTAAATCATACTAAAATTTTATGATACGGAATAACTATCTATATGACTTACTTCGGCATTCATTTAAAATTGTAAAAAAAGCATATTAAAAGCATAAAGCAAATCTTAATCTTTGTGAATTGTCATTTTATTCTGAAACTTTCATTTGAATAAAATAAAGGCAAAAAAGGGACTAATCATTTCTAATATAAACCTTTTAAATAACATGAAATTCGTACCAGTATAACTAACACTATACTCAGGGTTTTTGTTTCTCTTTACTGAAAAAGGAAAACAAAAATTTAGCCAAAAAGTAAAAAAGAAGAGAGGTCACATAAAATTCAATTTGTTAAATGTATAATAAATTTAAGAAAATGAAAGATAATTGTAAGTATTTAACAAAAATTCCATGAGAGGTATACGTTCAAACACATAATGATTGGTGATTGTATTTAAAAACGTAAAAAGAACATATGTATATTTACATAAAATTAAAAAGACAGTATTATCATCTTTAAAAAATACTTATAAATATATTCATTCACGTTTCCAAATATATAGCAAAGTGATTTACAATTTCTTTTTTTTTTTAATACACGACAAGAAAAACTTAGTGAAATCAGGAATAATCTTTTTACTAGGATATAAACAAAATGATAAATAATGAATTTCATAAATAAAGGATTAAAAAGACATTTTGAGGGTATCATAATTACCTCAAAACTGCTAATTAAATAAAGAATAAATATAGATTTATATATCGGGATGATTGAGTGATGAATTTGTCTAGTAAAGCACTAGGTAAGACTACGAAGCGAATAATGAGAGGCAAGCTTAAAAGCATTTGGTCATATAATCCTCATTGTCTGCCATACAGTTGCTTCCATCTGGAGGAGAAATATGTCTTTTAATAATCAAAAAATGCGTTAAAATGACTATATATTAAGTAAGTCCTGTTGGTTGCTTAAGTTATTCGTTATAAATAAATATAAGATATAATTTCTGTGCGCTTAATATGAATATGAAATTTCATAAACAAATTGCTGGAAATAATTATATAATTAATAGGAATTGATTGATTAAAATTTAATTATATTATAAAGATGCTCTTCAGTTCTTCAGGGCTTATCATCAGCAGCTTGTGAATCGACCTAAATCTGTATATCTATGCTATTTCATTAAATTATAATGATTATGAACAAACTAATTAAAATTTTAAAATTGTACATAATAATAATAACAATAATAACAATAATAATAAATATATGTATAAATCATTACATTAGAATTGGTCAAATTAAAAAATTAGCATACTTACTCCTGTCAATATTTCGTTGAAGATGCGCTGCCACCCGATGTCTTGCGTCGTTAAACTCAAGGTGGAGACCAAGTCGAAGTAATGTTGGATTTTGTTCTACAAGCTGCGTAATTTCCATTTCGATTTTATTACCTAATACTTGAGACCTCTGAAAATTTACAAATTAATTTTATAACTTTAAACATTAAACAGTAACGTAAAAAAAAGAAAAAAAGAAAATAATAAAAATAAAAAAAATTGTCACTAAATATTATCACTAATAACGACAAACCTGGTTGGAACATCTGAACTCTTCGATAGCCTTCGTTTTAAGGAGAGCCTTGACGAGTTTTACTATCACAGATGGGCTTATGAAATTTGTTTCAACGCTAAAATTAATAATGAAACATTACTTTTTATCAAATTTAATTAAGTTGCATGATCCTTCAACTTTAATATTTAATAAATATATATTCCTTTAATTTTATAATGATTTATTATTATTTTTAAATAAACGATGCTTTGATTACTATCAAATAAAAAAGAAAAACATTTACTGAGATTTTCGAAAAAATTTTCTTTCATCAGTATTAAATTTTAATAAGAACTTTGAATCTATTAAAACTACTTTAACTGTATTGTAAATTTTAAATAATCTAATAATCTAATAATCTAAATTTTATATAAACTAGTTAAAAAACTCACTTCAATACTCGTAAAGTCGAATTTTTCTCTATGGCCTCTGCTAATCGTTGCGCAGTCTTGTCTGTAAGTCCTGTATTTGTTAAACTAAGAGTTTCAAGGTGTGTATTATTTTCAAGTGCTTCAAATAGTTGGAAAAATTTTTCATCAGAAATATTCTGTAAATCAAAAATATTGAATATTTATAAATATACTATGTTTACAAATGTCACTGTTAATAACTGATTTTATAAATATATTTCATTACACAGTTTTCAGATCATAAAATTTTAATTCTATATAAAATGCCAAACTTTTTGCTATTACATTAACGTATTGACAGTTGTATATAATTCCATTAAATTTAATAGAACTTAATAGAATGCAATTTGAATACTTCGTTCGATAATAAATGTAATGATTTATATTTTCACGATACTTAATATATCATTAGAAATAATTTAGAAATAGATAATTCATGCTATTTATTATAGCTTAGTTAAACTTAATATCACTGTAGCTTATTTTTAAATACCTTAATATTATTCCAATTTAAATCAACTAGCGTGCGATCGTCTTCACGAGCACGCTTAATGGTTTCGTCAACATCCGTATCGTTAGGTGGATCGATAGGAAAAACTTTCGGCTGACTAGCTTTCGTTACACCATCCCAACCAAGTCCTACTGGTTGTCCAGAATTGAGTAATGATGCATGGTATTGGTCTTGATTCATCATTGAATGGAAGCCAAGAATAGCTACAAGAAATATAGACGTTCAGTGGTTACTATTGTTCAAGTTAACAATATTAAATTTATATTACTTCTTATATTTTTAAATTCTATATAAGTCATAGAATATTAAATTATGAATTACATACAATTTGATTATTATATTATTTTAATTCGCAACTTAATCTCACTTGTATAAAAATAATATTTGAAAAGTATAAAACTGATTTTCTATATTGATAAGACGACAATTATTATTATAATAGTTTGTATAAAATACATAAATGTCGAAAAATTTGTAAATTTAAGCCATACTAATGTGCAAATATTAATAATCTATATATTATATAAAAATCAATTAATACAAAGTTTAATAATTGCCGAACTATCTATTTAAAAAGAACGTCTACTTTTTTCTGTTTTTTTTGTTAAATAGCAAGAAGTTTTTGTTATTAATGATACTTGATACTACACTAATCATGACAATTGAAATGGAATCTAAACAGAAATTTAGTATTAAAGATAGTCATTCCGAAGATGTGTTTGATTTTACGCTTTGCAGATTAGACGATTAAATTGATATACGCCCTCTAGCGTTTCGAAAACTAGTCGCGCGAACATCAGTGAGCATTGGAGATGTAAATAATCATCACTCGATACTAACTACAAATCAACAATAAATTTTATATTTCTTCACTTAGAAATTCAAGTATATTAACAAAATTTTACCTGCTAGATCAATGATTTCATCTTCGCTAGCATTCGTTAAAGCTTGTTCATATTCATCACCAAGGTCAATGGCAATTTGTTCTTCCGCTTCTTTTTCTTTAAGATTTTCTCTTACCGGAGGTACCCACTAAATGAAATCAATTATATGTTCATTAAATTATTTACTTTTTAAGTTAATAAAAATATATTTATTCTAATATTAAAATTATAATCTTGAAGCTATCTATTATCACACTATAGACCTAATAAGATTCATATGGTTTACTCATCATTAAATATATTTCTATCTTAAATATTGTATTAAAAATTTTATTGCTTATGTACTTAATTTTTTTGTTAAAATAAAATTAATTATGTTATGCAACATTTATGTTAAAAAAGTAATTATTCTCTTTCAAATGCTTCTGATTGCATAAATCTCTACAAGTATTGAATTAAAAATGGTAACTTGCAGTAATTAAAATAAATCTGATCAATAATTATGACAAACTAAAAAAAATATAATGTTTAAGTAAATAATTGAAGTAAATGCAGTAAAAGCGACTTAAAATATATTTAGAAGAATAAATGGAAATAAATTAGTTCATACATATATTTAGTTTATTATTTATTAAAATATATATAGAAGAATAAATGGAAATAAATTAGTTAAAACCATCCAGTTTTTATTAAAAAATCTATTTTGATTAAAATTTTTTCATTTTTATTTTAATACGAAGATTTGCAATAAATCAAAATCATGTAAGTAGCCAATATAATTTGTCTATATTTTTCATTTACAAGTATTAAATTAATTATAGTGATTTCAAATATTAATATTTATACATGAAAATACATTATTTACAATATTATAGTTTAATAATTATTAACTAATGATAATTCAATACTCTAATACTATGAATTTACTAACTAATTACTATTCTCATAATGATACAATAATATACAAATCATTAAATATAAGATGTCTCTAGAGGCAATAATGATTTTATTTTTCATTATTATATATATTAAGTATAAATGAAATTTATACATTATTCTACAGACCTTTTTCCCTCGAACGACACCTGGTACATAAGGTTTCAGCTCAGGAATATCAGGTGTTTCCATGGCTTGTTTATTGATGTGCTCGATTAATTTTTTGCGATTTAAAGGTCCAGTTGGATCTTTATCGCACTCATAACTGCAACGTTGAGATGGTGGCATGAAACTATCCTAAAAGATTGATAATTCTTGTCATGGAAATTCTATTATATTGTGCGCTAAAGTACTTTGCAATATAATTTATATTAAATTAATATTTATATTAAAAAATCATTGATATATTTAATACTTACATCGGGATCTACTTCTTTAGCAAGAATATTGATTTCTTCAGGAGTAAGCTGTGATAGTAGTTCATCAACATCAACATCATCATACTCACTCAAATCCTTGCCATAAAGTTTGGCTGCTGTTGTCATGGTGGTTTTTTTAGTTGAAGCGGAGGTCTGTAAAATTGAGTCTACGATTAATTTTATTTCATGATTGATGTAAAGTACTTTATACTAACAAATTTCTTATCTTCATATTTTTGTATCATAAATATCATTGTAATACAATCGAATTCTAATACAATCGAATATATATCTTCAATTATATATCTTTATTTTACAATAGGGTATAAATATTAAACATGATATTTTTTAACTAATAAATATTCCCAATATATATATATATATATATTTTTATTTTTTATTTATTATATTATAAAATATTTATTTAAAATGTATAATTGTTGAGTGATAATTTTGGAGTATCATTTCAAATTAATCAAAATGTACCAAATTTTCATTTTTGTAACAAACATTAAATTATGAATTTCCATTACCGTTATAATTAACCAAAATATTAGCAAATGTAAAATATGATTTGAGGTGTATAGCATTATAAATGAAAATTATTTTATAAAATACATACTTAAATAATTAATATTATAATATAAGCATTTATAAAGTATTAATATTCGGGTTATTTTATATTATAAATTACTATAATATCATTATAATGCAACTAGAACAATAAAATTGACAAAATTCAAATTAATTGTAAAAATTGCTAAATTATCCCTTTAGTCAATCTGTATAAAAATAAAAAATTTATTGCTAATTAAATTATAGAATTAACTTGTAATCCGATGATTTCTCAACATACCTGTAATAATTCCAAAAATGCAAAGAGTCTTTTGAATTTAAATTTAGGCAGGTATATGGCTCAACCTGATAAAATGGAAAAAGATGAAAAACGAGCCCTGCAAGTATTATTCAAGAAAAACAGAACAGAGTACTGGCTCTTAAAATATTCTTTTTAAGTAAAACTAATAGCCATACTTTTCACACCTCAACATTAAAGCCATTCATTGATGCAATGATGTAACCAATCACTTAATTCACAATAAAAGGCCTTCCTATTTAAAAGTAACGCGTTATATGGGCTTCGAGCACGACGTATAGCGCGATATGGTTTTATAAAACAATATTTCCTTAGAGAATGACTTTGTTGGTCTAAGATGCAACGAAAGAGGACACGATCTCTTCAAGGTACAAGAGGATTGATCGAAGTGTATCGAAGGTACAGTACACGCACATGCACGGAGATATTGATGAGCAACACATACCGGGCAACAATCCAAATAACGGCTGATGCCCTTTGGCCCAGATATAATAAATCCGGGGATCGATTTTCATTGACAACTCATCTGCCAAATTGGCAGTTGGACAAAAGTAATTTATCGTGCTCGCAATGGGGAAGTGGCGAATTAAACATTTCCCAAGCGTCACGACCCACGGAATAAGGTAGCTAAGGGGGGCGGCACACTTACCCTCGTACAATTATCCACCGGTTAACAAAATAATCCTTGCCTCCTTACCCGGGAGCGAGAAGACGTTGAGCGTCAAAACCTCACCTAATCCGCGATAATACAGTAAGACGCAGGTCTTACGCACACGCGCGCACGGAAGTGCGTAACTCGGTATAGATGATGTGACACTCGTAAATACGGAGTCGTCACGTACGTGCGATGAAACACAACAGAAACAAAACCACCGAAGTAAGGTTACGGACGATTATGGCACTGAGTGACGGTGACGGCAGCGCCCTTTACTCCTCCCTCACTCTTTCTCACTCTTACACAGACACACACACACTCTCTCTCTCTCTCTCTCTCTCTCTCTCTCTCTTTCTCTCTCTCCCACTGTACTTTTTTCTTTATCTAGCAGACATGCGCGCACACACGCATTCTCGATCGTGCGCGGGACGACGTCTGTATTTCTTATTCGTGTTCGCTCATCCACCGATGCAGAATGCAAACGCGATAACGATGCGACGTTGGATTGGAGATTGTTTTATAAAAAGCGAGGTTAAGAACGACTAATTGCTTATAGCTTCAAACTATTAAGTAATTTTTCGTGAACGACGATGTTAGTCAATTGTTTTAATTGCTTTGCCGATTTCAGTTTTTTTATTCGTATTTCCTTGGGATGATGTTCGTTTATGCAGATGCGTGTAAAATTTTTGGACATTGAAAACATAATAGAAAGCAGGATAGGATTTAATATTAGAATTTATACGTCGCTTTTCATTTTTCCAAACTATCAACTCCAACTAATGCAATTGGTATATACATTAAAATTTCCAAGCTTAATGTATCATAAAAGTAATGATTAAATTTAATGAAGTTTTAAAATGATGATAAAATACATCTTTCAACTGTTTGATAATTCGATAAGTAAATAAAAAAAATCTTCTAAAAGGTACAAATAAAAAATAAGTTTTAATTACAAGATTTATATATAATTATATAATTTATTTATTATACGCTATGATACATTGATACATTGATTATGATTTCATTTAATAATGAACTAAACTAAAGCAATATTCAAATATTGTTTTAAAAATTGTACTACTCTACAATAAATATTATAGTATAAATATTTATCTATATTATTAATACATTATAATTAAATTAAATAATTTCATCAATAAAGTACTATCCATATTTATCTTATTTTTATTTACCTCTCTACGTGAAAATTTCAAATCCGATAATTCGTCATATAATTCTAATTGTATACCCTATACATAATATTGTTAATCTACAGATTTAATAATTTATATATTTCTTAACTTTGAGTTATGGAATAGTTGTTAGAAATACATTTTAAAAATTTCATTGAATATTCATTGAATAATGAAATATTTTATTTACTACAAAATCTGAAATAAATATAATAATTTCTAATGATATTACGTTGAAAAATTCTTTAATGAATATTTAATTACTGAAAATTTAAATGTATAATCAAACTTTTAAAACTTCTTAATCATAAGTTTTCATCCTTCTATATTCAAATAATATTTAAGTTTAATTGGTAGGTTGATAAAATTGAAATAAAATCGAATTTTATAATATCATAATTACAAATAATATATATTTGATATATAAATGGTTTATAATTCATCACAGTATAAACATTTTACAACATTGAACTACATAAATAATAAGGTCACTGAGTAAAAAAAATTAATAGTATTATTGTTTAGATTTTATCCATAGTTGCGTATATTTAATGTTTTCTATTTAAAGTGTTTTTCAGATTTTTACAAATTACAGATGTTTCCTTATATGCACATGTATGTAACACTATATACAATATTAAAACGTAGAATTAAAAATGATTACACATGCGTACACACACGCGCAAGGGCGGAAAATTTCATTCTAAATTCGCTGATAGATTTGCACGCGTAATATGCGAAATTACACATTGTAATACATGTAATTTAAAAAAATTAATATACTTGATATGATGAGTAATAGAACAACAATTGAGGAATTTTACATATGTATATACATACCGTAAATCTGTACTTGTTAATCCATGTAATCAATGGATATTGTGCACGTTAGATAATCATTTGCAAAACTAATTTTTTTAATAATATTATTAATTATATTACACATTCTAAACCTGTTTTTGTTGTAAATAACGAATTCTTAAAAAACTGCGTGTAACAAATGGTATAAACACAAATTTAGTCTTTTATCATTATGATATTTAAATAGTATTAAATACTTTATATCAATTTTTTATTTTATAATATATTTTCTAATTATAATTTTATTTTAAAACAGTTGTAATCATTAGATCAAAATTATTTAAATATAATATCTGAATAATATATCATTTCATTCGTAATATTCGTTACATAATATATCTTTTTAAATAAAACTATGCTTTACATTTTTATATTATAAATATATTTATGAGTTACTTTGTACGTGCAAAGTTGAATCTATTCAATCTCTAAAAAGTGTATTAATATAATTGAAACAAATATTTTAACATCATTATATCTCGTTACATCATTAGCAATTTTAAGATTCAATAGATACAATATAATAAAATAAAATGATAAATAAAAGCATAAATAAAAGCACTTTATAAAGCAATTAATAAATCAACGTATTAAGACTATGTTTATTTAACTTTTGGTTGTAAAGCTATAAATAAATTTTATAATCTTGATTTATGAACAATAATTTTTAATAAATCATTCGTTTTAACAAAATATTCATTCAATTTTTACATTTAATTTTTAGGCAAATGGAAAAAAATTATTTTCTCTTGATATAAAGGTTATTCTTTATATCAAAATTTACATTATATTCTTATCATTATATTACTTAAATCCATGTACAGCCGAATTATCGAAAAACATGGCAAAATATCAACATACTATTTATCATTTAAATTTAATATCGAAATTTCACTATTTAAACGAAGGGGCTGAGCAATTATTAGTTAAAGTATAAAATAATATGGCATAGGAAATATTTCAAAATAAAACAAGAAATCGAATGCATTAAATCATTGCAAAATCAATAGATTTATCCGACAATGATAAACTTTGTTTATATATTTCAAATTTATATTTCAAATTATGACATTATAAATATTATATTAATATGCCAGATTAGTAATTTTATAATATACAAATATGTTACTTTCATTCAAGAAGATATTTTATTTCCTTGATATCACGAAATTATATATATATATATATATAATTGTAGTCAAAGGAAAAAGGATGAGAATACGAAAATTTATTATAGTTTCATTTATATTTTTTATATATATTTTTACGTCATTATTAAGATTTTTAAATGAATTTTCTTTAACATCAATAAAGCTATAATCATATTAACTTGAAATTTCAACTTTTTATGCTTATTAATACATATTAAGATTTACTATGAATCTTCCGTTAAAATAAATGAGTATGTCAATCAGACAAAAGATGTTTTTAAAGTTAATTAACAAAAGCATTCCATGTAAGAAAGTCTTATAGTGAAATTTGTTTTTAATGAACGTATATAGTATTCTGTAATCTGAATTTAATAATGTAACTTTTTTTTACGTTATATATATAAATAAAATCATAGAAT